TTCTTTTCAGATCTATCTGGGTGCGAGTTCTGTACAGTATATAACTCTTAAAGAGGGCCTCCCCGCGGAGGTGAAGTACTAGAAGTGGAAGGTACGAAAAGAGAAAAGCATCAACTTCACCAGACAACCATTTCTACTAAGTACTACTGATACTACCACCATCACCATCACCACCACCATCACCATAATAATCATCACCACAAGACTCTTTTCGCTTCTTGCATTTGCCTCGACTCGACCCCTCTCGTCCCCGTTACCAAACGACGTATCACCCACCTACCTACCCACCCACCCATTACCACCACGCTACAACCCACCCCTGCTCCTGCTGCTGCTGGCGCTACGCATCACTCCGGTCAACCTCATTTACCCGCCATAGAAGCGACATACAAACCCCCCCTCCCCTCCCCCCACGACGACACCGGGGGCGCAGTCACCGTCGGCCTCTATTACAGGCCAGTCCGTCCCAGGGCTCTGGTACCGCTGCATGGGTCAGCACAACTAAACACCACTAACCGGGACCCTTGGTCGCCATTGCCCTCAACCGGAAATCCAACCGGAAGTCTCGTGCGGCGTTGGTAATGCTTTAAGGAGGAAGGCTGGCCCGAAAGGATTTCCATCTTTCACAGCTCCTCTTTTTACTTTGACATTTCTTCTTTCTGTCTTCCCACGTCATTGATCCGCCTAGACTTTTTGTTGCAAATCGCCCAAGCACTCTACTTCGCTCCCCGTGGAGAGGGAAAAGGAACTACCTTTGGCCTTTATTGGGGAAACTAAACTCCTACTATCTATCACATTTGGGTGGCTTCGATCTTCCGTGCTCCAATTTCATTTCGATCATTCTTATTCTTCTCTCTCCTCTCTTCCTCGTTCGGTTCTCCGGTCTCTCGAGTCTTCTTGACTATCCTGGCTTCTCTACTATTTGAGATATCATTTTGCCTGCTGATACCGGAGTCGAGTCCCTGGTGGTACCTTCCTCATTATTGTTGCTACCCCGTCTTTTTCATATACAAAAGGTGCGAGTTCAATCTGAGCCTGCATCTGCTTTCTTGCTTCCTTTCTTATTAGTGGTGCCCAGTACTTTCCCCACTGTGGCTCGCCTTGATTCATTATATTATTCTACGCTGAGTCTTGTGTACTTGTGCAAGACAACCATCTTCGAGGAAATTCGTCACAAACGCCAACGAAGTCGAAAATGCAGGCCATTCACGAGCAGCACCGGGCGAGCTACTTGCCTGCCTCGTCTCGCCAGAGCCGCATGGCCATTGATTCCCTATTGAATCCATCCGCAGAAAGCGAAACTGCCAGTACTCGGTCACAATATAGCCAGCACGGCTCGCCCTTATACCCGCCCAGTCCGAATCAGTACTTCTATACTTCCTACTCAGAGAGCCACCATCCTTACCAGGAGGACTCGCAGGACCAGGGATACCTGCCCTACCGGACACGATCGGTGGAATCCTCCCCGGATCCTTACTCTCGTGATCGATACGATTCGGTATCTAGCAGCTCCAGCAATGCTGCGGAGCGACGGCGGCCTCCCCGACCCAAATACGAAGAAGAAGAGATGTATTTCATCTGGTACCACCGTGTGGACCTCGGCCAAGAGTGGAAGGAGGTCCGTGAAAGCTTCAACAGGCAGTTCCCCGATCGGCAGCGACGAGGGTTCCAAGGAATCCAATGCAAATTTTACCGCTTCATCAAAGAGAAGAAGTGTCCCACATTACGGGAGCAGCGCCGCATGCGTGACGGCGACTTTCTGCGGGAGGGGGCGGGAGTTGCCGACTCGGGGGCTCCGAAATTTGGAGTTATTGAGTGGGTAGGGACCTGGTATCCATGGATGCGCGAGGACAAAGAAACGGTGCGCAGACGACGAATTGCGAGGTAAATAATCCTGTTTTCGGATAGCTTCATCAGCATCCGCCTGGTGGTCGAGTCATTTCTTTGCCTCCTGCGCTTATCAGCGCGTGTTCTCTCTCTCTCTCCTCCCCCCCCCTCTCTTCTTACCTACTCCACTGCTACCTGAACACATCTTTGTTTCACGGCCGACCCCGAAGATACCTCTACGTTAATTATTTTTTTTTTTTCATTCTTCTGTCTTATTTTCTTGATTCTCTTTGTCTTTTCTTACGCTCGTTATTTGCCACTTGAAAGTCACTTTTAGCATGTCTTGATTTTTGCCTGGGAGGATGTCTGCTTTCTTGTCGTTATGAGCATGCATAAAACGCACTGGGCTTGTGGGAGGAATTCGTCGATTTACACTTGTTTGTTGCTTTCTTGTATACGGAGGCTTACCACCTATTTACCTCCCTGTCTGTCTGGCCAGACCTACCAAATACCATTTAGATGGACTACCATTCTTGTCTTGATGGCGAATGTCTCGTTCAACCTATCCGTGAGGACTTATCTGACGTGGAAGAATTCTACCATGATACCCTTGTGGGTACCAATCTTACTCTTTTCGTGCCTATGTCGCCGACTACATCGCACCATAAGTTACCTCCGAAATCCGAGATCGTTCGTTGATGGGGAGGTACGAAAGGTAACGTTATGTACAAATACGGGTACTATACGTGTATTATTAAAAATGATAATACATTTTTAGCTCGTAACAACGGGTACTCAGGTAAAGCAATACAAGAAGACTTGTTACCGAATTGGTCATGCATAAGACGGGAAGAGAAGGGAAGGTTGCGTGGAAAAGCCTTGAGATCCAACCTTTGAAAGATGATCTGATATGATGTATAACAATGATACGTTGGCTTCGGCTGAAGCATGACAAATAACTCACCTCGCTTATTTTCCCAGAATACTCCGACCATCCCAACAGGGGGAAAAGGAGATTCGTTACTGTTGACTATCTACCACGTACTTCACCTGGGTTCCAAATCTAGTTTACTACAGTAGACCTATCCCTCTACCTCCTGACCATGTATGATAATCTACAGCTGCACTGGTGGCTTAGAGGAACAGTACAAGAGGAAGCACGCTGATTCCAAAGAGAACCACCTAGCTAGCTAAGCTAAGCTACACAGGTTCGCTACAAGTGAGTGCAAGGCAATAAGGACGAAGCGAAAGCATATTGCATATTGCATGGTGTGTTGTGAGCGTTATACCATACATTGTACAGTCTACAGTATATCAATAACTGTACTTCCATAATAGGCCCAGTCTCAAATCGTCAGCATGATATCAGTTCAGGCCTTGCTTTGCATGTTATGCATGCTCACCAACTACTCAGCACTTGCTTCTTATGTTCAATTCACTGCACAGCCCCCCTCTCGCTAGACTGGGACCTGACGCAATAGCCCAAGGAAGAGTAGGTGCGGTGCGGTGCGGAAAGGAAAAGAAAATGTCTAGAACTTTATGGGGATCTTTTCAATGCTTGAGCGAAAGTGGGATATCTGTGGGGGTTTGGGGGGCGGTTAGGCGGTTTGTAGTAGGAGGCCATGCTGATCGAGGTCCTTTCTTTTCTGGATTGAATTGTAAGATTGACACCAACAATATCCCCGCGGGAATGATCGGTGATGTTCGCTTTGCTACGGTTGGGCATGGGGGAATAGAAAGATCATCGGGTGTTGGTTGCTGGAGGCATGGATGCGATATGGTTGTTGTGGATGGTGATGATGACGATGACTCAATCATATTGAGTATCAAGAGCCGTTTTACATAATATGAGCCTCTTACATAGGACGAGCAAGTGAGCGCAGGTAGTATACCATGGGTTACAGCGGTGTCTGTGGATCTCGGGCGAATGAGTTGATAGAGATTAGACGATGGAGTTCTGACTACGGGCCCATAGGTAATCGATACCTGGGATGGAAGACGAAAAAGCAAAAAAGAAAGAGGCAGGGAAAAAAAAAGGCAGAAGCATAAGGAAAGGAACAGGACAAGGAACTCGATTGAAACAAAGACCTCTTACCGACCACAAGGCGATCGTGCATGGATCCTCACGCTCAGGAAAGAATAGGATTGGGATGGAGAAACGATGATGAGATTGTGCATGTGCAAGTATCATGGGATTATTCGGGTGTAGTTAAGCGGGTAAGCTAGCCATCCTTCGCTTGTTGTCATGATGGAGAAAACTATTGTTGAGGGGTGAACAAAGAAGGATTCGATGAGAAAAGGCAAGGATGGAAGGATGGATGGAAAGGTTGGGGATTGTCGTCCAAGTTACCCCGCATCATCTTCTGGGGGCCCATTCGTTCTGTCAATCGTTCAATCATTCCAATCATTCAATCATTCAAATTCACTGAGTCAATCAACCAGTTCCATTCCATTCGATCTGCATCAAATCCAATCTATTTGATTGTCTTGTCTGTCTTTCCGCTCGCTTCCTTTCGAGACACGATCATCGGCCAATACGATCTTCAATCTAATTCGGGAAACTGATAGCTGGCTGTTCATGGGATGAATAGTTTTGCTGCACAATCTCCAGCATCTTGACTGTTTCCTCTTCGAGACGCATCGCAGGGCTGACTGGGTGAGACTGGCTGGCTGGCTGACTGATTTGCAAGTGAACGAATAGATGCTAGCACCGGAACAAAGCCTGCAGATTGTTGCTGTCGTGAACTGTCTTTCCTTTTTTTTGCTTCTTCGCCGATTGAGCTTGACAACAATGGCTGCGAATTCTGCAGAAAGGCCGCTGCCACTTTGGCGACGCATGAATGCGTTGGCTCGTAGACTGAATCTTCCTTGGAGCTCTCTTGCCTCATCGTTCGCACGCGCGCATAACCAAAAATCGTTATCGAGGAATAGGTCTTTCGTTGGTTAGGTGTATCATCTTCTCTTTTCCGTGGTCGTTGTCGGTTCCTCCTGCGACCTGCAGCACTGCACCCAGTCTCAAAGTACCGTGCATCGACCGTCCTCTATCAAACTAGGCAGCCTTTTCGTTCTGCAGACGCAGCCACCCCAGCTAGTCTCGGCTGCCTTCTTCGACTTGTGAATAATTCCTTCCCGCTTTCTGAGCTCAGTCCCACAGACCTTATTCAAATCCTTCTTCACCAGCTTTCCTCATCCGACTCCACGTGTGACCGGAGTCCATAGTCAAATCGACGGCGCCCTTCGCTGCCGGAGTCGTCGAAGTCAAATTCCTCGTCATCAGACCGCGCATGAATTCGGTATTTACTGTAGATAGCCGTCGCGTCCTCCTCATCGTCCCACGACAATTCTTCATCCGGATAATCATTTGCGGGATTATTCTCAGCTGTGTCGTGCCATGCCCGTTAGCCCTTCAATCCTTCATCCTTAATCCTTCGCTTCTTCCTGTCGTCACAATCAGACGGGACCTTGCGCTTGGACTTACCATTCGAGTCTGCATCTTCGCTGTCCCACCGTTCTTCATCCTCCTCTTCCTCAGCGAAATTCTCCCAATATTCTTCGTCCTCTTGCGTAATGACAATAACCCCAATGTCCTGACGAGTCATATCGATTCCGTGCTGCTTGAACCAGGCATCATGGTCCGATTCCAGGTTGGCCAGCGGGTCCGTAAGCATGCCACTAACTGGAAGCGGCTTTCGAATGTACGTATCGTAGACATATTCGCCGTCGCTCTCCTCGTCGTCATCCTGCTCCGCAGGCAGGGCGTCGGTCGCCGTTGCGGCCGAGTGAGGGTCCTGTACAGCGCTGCCCCCCCGGGGCTTTTGCGTAGGGCGATGTTTATTGGGCGTTCGCGGTTGGTACTTCAGGGGCGGCTTGGGCATTCCCACCGAATGAGACGGCGACGGCTGCCCACCTCCAAAAGTCGAGGACCCAATGTTGCTCTGGGGGCTATGCGGCCCCGCATGCTGCATGTCCACTTCCATCTCCGCATCCAACTCCAGGGCCACCTGTTCGAGCTCCTTTGCGAGTCGCTCCGACTCATCCTCCCAGGTGCTCTGGTGAGAAGCCTGGGCTTCCTGATCCAGGACCTGGGAGATATGCTGCTTAGCAGCCGAGATGGCGCTCTTGCGCTCTTCTCTCCATTTCCTTTCCGCCTGGTTCACCACGGGCCGCTTGCGCGGTCGAACGGCTTCCTCCGCCCCACCAGCACCAGAGCCCGAACTCGACATCCCATCCAACCCTTCAGCACCAGCAACCGCATCCGCCACAAAGGACGCCTGTCTCGAATGGGGCTTGCGCCTCAGCTTCTCCACCAGAATCGCGACGGGCCCGTCCCCTTTCCGCTTCTGCACCCCCGCACCCGTCCCCCGGAGGGTACTGTTGATTGGGGTGCTAGACCGGGAGATCTGGAACCGCCGCAGCGACTGCTGCGAGGCAGCTGCGGATGACGAGGAAGCGGGACTCTCGTGCCCACTGGAGGCGGCGGCGGTGGGCCCAGCGGCACCACTGTCCAGGGCCGGCGAGCGACTGCCAGCCGGCGACAGCGAAGTCGACGGGCCCGGCGATGAGTGCAACGCTCGCTTCAGCTTCTCGTCGTGCTCCCGCCGTGCGGCGGCGAGGCGGCGCTCCTCGCGGAATTCCGCCCCGGGCGATGTCGCCCGCACCAAGGGGACACCACCGTCCGCCGCAGCGGTGCTCGAAGGAAACAGACAACTACTCACGGACCGTGGAGTGTGAATCACCCGTTGCTGCCCGGACGCCAGGGGCGGTGGACTGGAGGATGTTCCGCTAGTAGTGCCCTTGGGACCATGGCCCTTGACCTGGACTCGTTGGAAAACAAAGTCTGTAAACCTTCGTTTGGTTTGATGAAGCTCTGATTGGATATCTGTTGAAGTGAGTCAGTTCTATTCCTCGGTGAAGCAGAAAGGACCGTAGTGTTGGAATTTAGATAGACGAGATTGTCGCCAGGTCAGAAATTTGAGGAAACGGCTTCTTATGCAATGAATGGTTGGAAAAAAAGCAATCAAGCAAGGGTCCTTCTCACATAATGTGTCGACGGGCTCTTCTTCGCGACGCCGCTTGATATTAATTTGCTCCGGGGGCAGAGACATGATGAGGTAGTAGCGAAAAGGCTGTGAAGTTGGGGTTTACACGGCTACTGATGAAGGCGAAGTCAAAGCTATGATGCAGCTTGGGATGTTCGATCATGGTAATCCCTGTTCAGGTTAGCGCTATCTGGCTGGTCTTATCATCACGTGACTATAGATGCTTTTTCCATGCTACCAAGTCGGGCAAACCATCAACAAATTACCCCAAATAGCGGGTGGAAACAGTACTGTACGATCCGCATTACTTGCACCCTTGCACCCTTGCACCCTTGCACACTCTTGCACATATTAACCAGGCGTTGTCATTTTCTTTGCTCTTGAGGATAGCCCTCTTCGTCTCTCCTATGTTGTTTGATGGCGGTAGCGCTATCATCATCCAGTATCAATTACCTCCGCCCGCTATATAACCTTTGTCGTTATCAGGAAAGCAACAGGGGGAGCTGTGTGCTCTGCATCAAGTTCCGTCGAATGGCATCACATATGCAAATGGGCAACTTGAAACATAAAGAACAGACCGAAGCCAACCGATCTGCGGTGCAGCCGAGATCCCGCCCGCTTTCGTAGCCAAATGCAGATCAAATAAAATAATGTAAGTAGCCAAAGAAGAGAAGCAGAGAAGGGGAAGAGAAGGAAAGAAGGGGCAAATGAAGAAGAAGATCAAGAAGAAGAAGAATCATACCCAGCTAGCAATACAAGTGATGGTATATGAAGAAATGAGGGAATTAAACGGTGTAAAGTGGTGTGGTCAAGAAACGAAACATTTAGACAATTAGAGAAGGTGAAAAACCACAAGGGGGCGACAAGCCAATACAGAGAAATGGATCAAAAATGGTGACACTGAAGGTAATGGCGAGATGCCAAAATGGGGGCATGAAATTGTGAAACCACCCAAGGGATTTTAGAAAAGAGATATTCGTCGCAGCAATCATTTGGCTCCAATCTCCTCTTCAGCCCAACCAGGAAGCGAGCTTTCGTTCTGGATTGCCAATCCGAAGCCTGCGTGTTTGAGCCCCCCAAGAGCGGACGAGAAACTAGAGAAGCTGCTTTGAGGCTGATGAGCCATTCCCGAACGAGGTGGTCCAGCCTGGCTTGAAATATGCCCAAAAGGTTCTTGAGAGAATGAAGGCAGGCTGACAGCTCGGGAGTGCTGTGCGCGAGGTACACTCAAGCCACCCGTGCTGGCAGTTGAATGGTGGCCAGGTCCCGATGAACCATTAGTCACATTCAGAAACCCGTTGATGGAAGGCTTGTGCTGATGTAACGGAGCTTCGATACTCCCGTTGCCGAGCTCGCCAGTGCTTGCTGTGTTGTAGAGACTTTGCTGCTGAGGGGCTTGGGAATGAGACTGGAGCGCAGCGAGGGTCATCGGATCATTCAGCCGGTTCTCCTGCTCCTGAGATTGCTGAGCCGACATTTGGTTGAGATACATTGTCAGTGGATTGTTGGCTCCGACATTGAGAATGCCCGACGGCGAGGAGACTTGCTGCAGAGGGTGTCTGCCGGGGTGTCCATTCTGAGAGCCAGTGGACCCAGGGGCAGGTGACAGAGCGGGGTGAGTCGGGCTGGATCCAGAGCCGGACTGGCTCAGGTTCTGCTGATAGCCGTTCAGGGCCGGAGAGGGTGATTGTGTGCCCTCCATTCCTGGACCGTTACGGCCTTGCTGGCCACCATTACCAGCCTGACGCGGAGGGTTTCCACACCGGTCCTTGCCAAAGTTGATCTTAAACCGCTTGTACTCGTCCCGGTTTCGCATTCCCTCGATCGCTTTGATGGCATTGGCGATGTTAGTGAAGTTGACGAAAGCGCAGCTCTTCTCGCGCAATGTGTTAACAAGCTCAATCTCTCCATATTCTGAAAAGTCCTGACGCAGACGTTCTTCCGACCAGGTCTCGTCCAGGTTTCCAACATAAACATTCCGCGAAGCACCTCCGCTCACAGCGAGAGCAATGGCTGGGGGGAGGGGTCCCGAGTGTTTACCCCATCCGATCTTCAAACGACGGTTATGGATCATGAGGCCCTGAAGATTGCTCAGGGCATAGAACGAGGCCGCCGAGGTCGGGTCAATAAAGGTGACAAAGCATATGTGCTTGTCCGGAATATAACGAATGTGGTGAAGAAGTCCGCCACGTACGACATTACAAATTTCCTCAATTGTGGTTTCGGGGTGGATGTTGCCCAGGTAGATAGTGCGATTACCGAGGTTGTTCACGCCACCAGCTGTGGTAGCCACGGCTGCGGCAGCAACAGACTGTTGAGCGAGCGCATTAGTGATCAGGTCACGGTCTGCCGAGTTAAGAATATGAGCATATCCTGGAGCGATGCCCAAGAATTGGGCGGCGTTCTGCTGCTGGGTCTTTGAGACGTATGCACATCGGTCTTTACCGTAGAAGACACGCCGGGGGGCCTGCCACTTGGCCTCCTGAGGTAGTTGTGAGACAGCCTTCATAGCGTTACTGATCGACAGGAAGTGGACAAAACCTATCGCCTTCTCTTTGACAATCTTGACAGTGTCGATGAGACCAAACTTGCCAAGTTCCTCCCGAAGCTCTTCTTCTGCCATCTCCTCGGGAAGATTGCCCAGGTAGACATTCCGCGATGCGCCAGATTGCTGCACTGCAAGCGCCACTGATGTAGGTACTTGCGAAGGCTTTCCCCATCCAACCTTGATATCGTTACCCTTGATGGCGAGCTTCTTCAGGATAGCGTCCGAGTGAAAATGTGTCGCGGAGTTACTGTCCAGGAAAGAGATAAATGCGCAGTTCTTGTCGGGAAGCAAGCGAACGGATTCAATCTGACCGCTCCGCACATGGTTCAAGATCTCTTCCGCAGAAGTTTCGGCAGGGATGTTGCCCAAGTAAACAGTGCGGCTCGTTCCAGAAAGCAAACCAGGGGTTACCGAGGCGGCATGAGCGCCAAACGCGGCGTTACCCAACCCGCTCAAGCCTCCTACGGGAGACTGCGGAGCTCCTAGCATCTGGGAGTTACCCATGCCATCTGGCGACAACATGCCGGAGTAAAGACCATGATTCTGTGAAGGCTGAGTCGGACTTGCGAGAGGGTGGCTCTGATTCTGTGCATGTGTGGGACCATTGGCTTGTGGAAAGCCTCCAAAGTTGGCGAATTGAGGTGAGGCAAACGCGGATGGGGTGCCGGGTTGGAAAGGACTACCAAGTAGCAGCTGAGACGGTAGGAGGGGAGTGAAGTTCATGTCGAACGCGGTCCCCGCGGAACCCATGGTGTCCGAAATCGGAGCTGAGGTGTTGATGGCAGGAATATTGGCACGACGAGCGTTCCGGTCCGATAGACCCTGCAAGGGAATATTGTTGGAATTGTATGCACCGTGGGAGAAGCCCGTGTTGTCCGCGCTGAGATGAGAGAACTTGGAGGGAATCAGACGACTCGGGATGCTCGCATCGGAGGTTTGCATGGCGAGGGAAGAGAGCGACTGGACACGAGAGTCCCCTAGAGAAACAAAAAGAGAACGGGGGTGAGTAGTCGCAGATGGGATGATTGATGTCACCCAGCCAAGGGCCAAAGGGAGGGAGGACGTACGATGCAATTGACACGGTAAGAATAGCCAGGGGAGAGGGAAAAAAGCCGGGCCTGAAGATCACCCCCAGAAAGAGTAGGGGGGGGGGGGGAATAAGGACAAGAAGAGAGGCTCAAGAGGCCAGAATGAGAGTAAGGCGATTGAGGAATGAAAGCAATAAGAATAAGGACACAGCACGGGGCAGAAGTCCTCTTCCAACGGAGACGTGTCTAGAAGGGATCCCAGTAGTCAATTGGAATGTGCATGGACAATGAGCGGATGGGCTGGTGGAACGGAGACAAACCTGTGATGGTTTAGTTGAGTTTAGGGGGGGTGGGTTAAGTTTGCGGGTAAAGAAGGCCGAGATCCAAGAGACTGGAACAGGGGCACCAGGAAGAAAGAAAGTGGACGAACAGCAGTTCAACCAAAATTGTAATGGCGATCAAACAGGTGAACAATAGTGAGAATGTGCTATGGGTCTGTCAAATGAGAAGACGAATTCAAAAAACCGACATCAAGAAGTGGAATGAAAGGAATAATCCAGCGAACCCTGCGTAAAGTGCCAGATTGCTAGAGTTTCAAATGGTGACAAAGAAGGTCTGCCAAAGGCACCAATAGTTGAGCTCAAAAGGGATAAGTGGAAATTGACTGTGGAGAGAGAGAGGAAGGTGATTGCAAAGAACAAAAGCAATTGAAAGAAATGATAAACCAAAAGCCAGACTAAAAGCTGCCAATTCAAGTTCAGAAGGAAAAGAGGTCTGATGGAGTAAGAAAAACATAAAATAAAATAAGAATAAGGTACGCAAAAGGGGACCCCTGGTAGGAAGGGGGAAAAGGGGGGCGTGTGAGAGATAGAGCGATAGACTGTCCGTCGAGAAAGATAATACCTTGATATTATTGAGCGATTTGCTGGGGCTTTCGCAAGGCTGCTGCCCTCTCACACCTGGCTCACTAAAGAATGTCTGAAGAAAAGACAGTAGAAAATTCAACTCAAAAAGGTAAGACTTTGAAAATTAAATGAACAACTGGGTTAAAACAAATGAAATTGGTCAACGCCGACAATTTCCGGGAAGAAACACGAAGCGTCAGAAAGGCGAGAGAGAGCAACCGTAACCACAAAGAGAGAGGATCATGTAAGCAAGGAATGAGAGGGGACAGGTATGTGACCGATGATATGGGGAGATTAAACTAGGCAGTCTTTGTCGAACGGGACCAAAGCAAAAGGGGGTGAGGGAAATTCCTCAGGCAAAGCCAAGGTCGATTGAGCCATCATAATAAGTTTTGAAGGTGTCGATAATTTTAGAAGTGGCAGATAATCTTCTTTTCCCTTGTGGAGTGAAAGTTGATTAGTACATCCGTAGTTTTGAAGCAAAGATGGGGAAAAAGGACCCCATCGAACGAATGATCCAACCATCTATCTGTCACCAGATTGTCTGAAACAGTCTTTTTTTGCTTGGCCGGCAAGGCTCTGGGACCAGCGTCTAGGATCAACACTTCATGATAATGGTATCGTATCCATAGCCATGAGATTACCTCTTTCTTGAGAGGAGTATCGAGTAGTTTGATTCGAGTCTCAACCGCGTCTTCGTGTCTGTCAGCCAAGTCTCGGGCGGACTATGACCACTAGCCTCGCGCGTCCAGGATCTGAATGGAATAATGATATTTTTGTTGATCTTCTTTTTGATGTGAAGCGAGCGCATAGATAGCCCCTAACAGAGAGGGCCGACACTCCTCCCGCGACGCGCTCTTTTGTCTTCCATCCGGATAAGATGCATCTCCTTCACAGACGTTATTTTTCTTCTGCTCGCGCGCGATCAGTCATTCAGACCTCTGATCAGTTACCGTGGAATTAGTAGTCACTATCCACATTGGGCAATGGGGGGCGTGTCAACCAGCCACAGACCGTCTGACGGTGGGGTGTTCCTGGACCGGAGAGAGGATTTTCGGGATATTGCACGGAACTCATCTTGATCCGGTCCGGCTGCAGAAGCATCCACTACTTTGTTAGTGCCTTAGGCAGACAGGCAGCTAGACAGTCAGACAGGTCACATTCGTGGTATCTGGGGGAGAGCATGTAGATGGCAGACTGGAATTAAGTACTCTCAGTTATCTCAATTGATGGAAAAAGTGGCACTGCTTCAAAAGATACCGTAATCTGTGTGAGTTTCAATGGCAAGCGACCAGAAGTGCAGGGTGAGGCGACTGAGGCGATTTAGTACGAGTGCCTATTATACTCATATGTCCCCGCAGGAAACGGCATTCTGCAAACTCAGGCTCCTTATCAAGAAAGTACTAATTGTGTCTTGTGTTGTCCTATATGTAGTAGCTTACCGAAAATGCTCTGCTTTTAAATACGAAGGGTTGAGGCATGACGCACCTACTGATGGGACGACCGGATGCGTGTTCCGTCAGTAATGCCCGGTGGCCTGAAAGCCTTCTCTGCCTGAGGCATACGCGGGGATATTGGGCGGAATCCAGAAATTTACCCCTCCGCGAGAGAGGATAGTCTTTCCGCACTGTGCGATTCGGACAACCTCGCCTCACCTTCAGACGGGACTTGCTGTGGTAGGATTTCCTTGTCTGACCGCTTGGTTAAGGTGTAAGTTCCGTACTCTTATCATACCCCTGTCCTTCACTCCAGTCGCCCCTGATAAAGCAGAGGGTGTGTGTGACTCACATGCACGTCTCCAAATGGATATCCACTGATCACACTGCTCCCTGGTTAGAACATAGACTCAATACCCTCAAACCACAATCCCTTGCAAGAGGACCAACACAATGGCCACCATCTATATCGACGAGGATGTCGGCCGGGACGAGTCGACCGCGACCGGCACCGAATCCGCTCCTTACAAGACTCTTGTCCACGCTTTCACGCAGCACCCTCCTTCCGAAGGAAACCAATACCTGACCCGCAAGTCCCAGACCGAGCCCGCCGAGGAGGGTGCCGACAAGCTCGAGTGGAAGCCCGCCACCAAGTCGGCCGTCAAGAAGGCCACCAACCTTTACGAGCAGCGCAAGAGAAAGGCCGCCAAGGAACAAGAGCTGGCAATCCGCGAGAAGCAAGAGGCGGAGAAGCGCCAGGTTATCCTGGAGGAAGCCAAGAAGGTCGTCATCAAGGAAGATACCTCCCTTCCCAAGCCCGTCAAGATCCGCCTCGATGAAACCGACCCCGCCGTCGTCAAGCTGGGATCTCCCGAATCCGAGGGCCCTGGTACTCGTGTCCGCGTTGTTGGACGTGTCCACCGCTTCCGCCCCCAGAAGGACGTTATCTTCCTTACCCTGACCGATGGTTCCGGCTACCTTCAGTGCGTTCTGACCGGTCAGCTCGTCAAGACGTACGACGCCATGACTCTCACTCTCGAAACCTCCATTGCCATCCACGGTGAGATGCGTGCTGTGCCCCCGAAGCAACACGCCCCCGACAACCGCGAGCTCCACGCGGACTTCTTCACCATCATCGGCCGTGCTGCTGGTGACAAGGATGCCATCTCCAACCGCGTCGCCCCTGACGCCGATCCCCAGACTCTCTACGACAACCGTCATCTGGTTCTCCGCGGTGAGACCATTTCCTCGGTGATGAAGGTGCGCGCTGCCACCCTGCGGGCTTTCCGCCAGACCTACGAAGAGAAGCGCATGCTGGAGGTCACTCCTCCCGCCATGGTGCAGACCCAGGTGGAGGGTGGAAGCACTCTTTTCAAGTTCGATTACTACGGGGAGGACGCCTACCTGACCCAGTCGTCCCAACTCTACCTGGAGACCTGTCTCCCCTCGCTTGGCGATGTCTTCTGTGTTTGCCCCTCTTTCCGCGCTGAGAAGTCCCTCACTCGTCGTCACTTGTCCGAGTACACTCACATTGAGGCGGAGCTGGACTTCATCACCTTCACTGATCTCCTGGATCATCTGGAGCACATGATTTGCCGTGTCATCGAAATCTTGCTAGCCGATCCTGCCACCAACACGCTCATCGAGAAGCTCAACCCCGACTTCAAGCCACCCAGCCGTCCCTTCAAGCGCATGCGCTACTCCGATGCTATTGAGTGGCTCCGTGAGCACGACATTCCCAACGAGGAGGGCAAGCCCCACGAGTTCGGCGATGATATCGCCGAGGCCGCCGAGCGCAAGATGACCGACATCATCAACCAACCCATCTTCCTGACCCACTTCCCCGCCGAGATCAAGGCCTTCTACATGAAGAAGGACGAGCAGGATCGCCGAGTCACCGAGAGTGTCGATGTCTTGATGCCCGGTGTCGGTGAGATCGTTGGTGGTAGTATGAGAATGGACGACTATGATGAGCTGATGGCCGCCTACAAGCACGAGGGCATGGACCCCTCTCCCTACTACTGGTACACTGACCAGCGCAAGTATGTCAACGTTTTCCTGCCTCTGCCCCCCCCCCCCCCCCTCCTCCCTGTCACCACTTTGATATGTCTGACTAACATCTCCTAGGTACGGAACCTCCCCTCACGGTGGATACGGTTTCGGTCTCGAGCGTTTCTTGGCCTGGTTGTGTGCCCGCTACACCGTCAGGGACTGCTCCTTGTATCCTCGCTTCACCGGCCGCTGCACGCCTTAAGGTGTTGTGTAATAAAGTAGAAAGCATCCATATATACGTGGCGAATCAAATATGTAGTGTTCGGAGGTCATCCTCTAACTTCTCGCAGGACAGATCGTTCGTAGTTTGATGAAGGCTGTATGTGCAACAGTCTTCTGCGTAGAGGCGAGCTAGGCGACTGGCGCCTAGCTCCTCTTTCCAGTCGCCACATTACTTATCCCAGACCTTTCAACTTCATTTCAGTAGGCTAGCTTTAGCTTTATTCCAAAGTATACGTGCGGATATGATCCGTCACACCTGGTGACGGTAATAACCCGGGAGAGAAGGTCCATCGGAAGTC